AACTTTGGGCTCCAACGTGTCTATTAAGAATACGCGATAGCGCTAATATATCTGCGCTTATTACACAGCTCCGACATCATCTTGTGTCGTAAGCAAAAAGTCATCTGCCACGCCTAGATCGAGTTGATGGATGGCGTCCACGTATTAAATAAGACCATTAATTAGCAATATGTGCGTTGTGGCCGCGTGTGAACCATAATTTGACCAAATTAACGATTTTTTATTTTTACAAATTATACAAGACTTTTAAAGAAATTATAAAAGTATTAAATCCTTATTATAATCTCTTAATTTTGAATTAATTCTTGTTTCCGAGGCTCAACTTTTTAATAAGTCCAAATCTAGTTTAGAACCTTTTACAACCAAAGAAGGTAGAACCTTTTAATTTAATCAAAATGAAAAGATGCTACTAAATAATATAGAAGTAAGGGAAAAAATTAATTTACTATGTATTTATTATCACTGTTTGTATATTTCTTATCTTAATATATATAAAAAACAATATAAAATAAATGGAGTAACAAATTTTATATGACATATGCATTAGTAAAAACATGCTGCATATCAAACTAAACTGGAACCGAAAATCAAAACAAATGTCAATTTAAGTTGTAAAAAATAAGAGATAATATACTTGTATGGTAGGATATTAACATACGACATATTGTGTGTGTTATCCAAACATCTGAATTATTTTAATTAATTACTACTGAAGATTTTATTTATCTCTTTCATTTAAAACTAAAAAACTAGGGGTTCACATGATTTTTAGCACATAATTAACAACTACTAGACATGAACATTAGTTTAGTCTCATTTTAATAAAGCAAGATTACCTATCAATTGTTCTTTAGCAGTTCAATTAATCTCCTTTGACAGAAACTGGGGGAAAATGGGTGCTGGCCCACTACCATGAAGGACACCATGAAAGAAGGGAAAAACCCATATGAAGCCCAAATGGGGTTCCATCCCAAAACCAATTGGTGGAAGGAGGAGTAGCCCATTAGTCTTATAAGGTGAGTCTATTTTCCATATATGAACGATGTGGGACAACTCACAAGTGATATTCTAACACGCCCCCTCACTTGTGAGTCCTTCGAAAGCCCAAGCCCAACTGGCTGGGTGCCCCAAGCCCTACTACAAACAGGCTCCCATAAACGGGTACGTGGGGGATAAACAATGGGTACGTCATCACACGGTCCAAGATAGAACCGGCTCTGATACCATGACAGAAACTGGGGGAAAATGGGTGCTGGCCCACTACCATGAAGGACACCATGAAAGAAGGGAAAAACCCATATGAAGCCCAAATGGGGTTCCATCCCAAAACCAATTGGTGGAAGGAGGAGTAGCCCATTAGTCTTATAAGGTGAGTCTATTTTCCATATATGAACGATGTGGGACAACTCACAAGTGATATTCTAACACGCCCCCTCACTTGTGAGTCCTTTGAAAGCCCAAGCCCAACTGGGCTGGGTGCCCCAAGCCCTACTACAAACAGGCTCCCATAAACGGGTACGTGGGGGATAAACAATGGGTACGTCATCACACGGTCCAAGATAGAACCGGCTCTGATACCATGACAGAAACTGGGGGAAAATGGGTGCTGGCCCACTACCATGAAGGACACCATGAAAGAAGGGAAAAACCCATATGAAGCCCAAATGGGGTTCCATCCCAAAACCAATTGGTGGAAGGAGGAGTAGCCCATTAGTCTTATAAGGTGAGTCTATTTTCCATATATGAACGATGTGGGACAACTCACAAGTGATATTCTAACATCCTTGTAATAAAGCAAGATCAATGTAATCTTCTGTGTGACTACTAACACACCACGTTACCTACAATACACCACATTGTCTATAATATAAGATAATTGGACATTTAACATACAACCAATCATAAATAGTGCAACAATGTGAAAACATTTATTTCAATCTGAGAAATCGAATGAATACAATATTCTAAAAGTTGTACATAAAAGTTTGTTTTACAGTATACTCCAACAAGATAATATACTACACAAGATTGTATAAAATTGATCGTTAGTTTTCAAATAAGAAAGGGGGGAATAGTTATTCCGTTCTCTATTTCTATTTGCGAGGATCCAGATGATTGGTTTTCGGTTTCATTTGTTTAACCCATTGGCATAAGTCATTTTACGTGCATTTTATAATGATGAAGGTGTTTTATTTTGAGTTTTGAATCTTTTGATAGAAATAGGATCGAAATAAATATTGGGAGCGAAAACGGCAGTGCACTAGGACGAGCCCACAAGATTTTTTTTTAGGCCCATTTTATTTGTTTCTGTTGGGCCATATAGTCAGCCCATCAAGGCTGATAAAATCAGCCCAGACCAGCATTTAAATTGAGGGTATCAAGGTAATTTCATGGATTTTGTTTCTTCCTCCTTCCTCGTACGCGCACAACACAGAGAGTCCGCCATGGAAGTGAGAGCTTCGACCTCAGCACCATCTTGCCGCCGTCGAGTCGCCGGAACTAGGCCGCCTAACCACTGGAGGTCTGTTCAAAATTCACAACGACGGAGAACGGCCATGCCATCGCCGGAGAAAAACTGCTGCGTGAAGCTGCGGGAACTTCACGTCCATCCGCCGTGCTCGGCCACCTGGACGCCATGTCCGATCATCGATAACACCGACACGACCCTTGCCGCCATGATATTGTCGGAGACGCTGTCTACAATCCCATATATATCGCGAGAGGAGCTGCAGCGGCACCTTCCCGTATGGCGACTGGAGCTGCCGGAGATGACCGGAAAATGCCATGCACCGCAGCCTGAACTTTTATGGCGCGTTTACACTTGAATTGGTTAATTACGGTACCGTCCCTAGTGTGAACGCGCGGATGTACGTTCAGTACCTCGTCTTGTTTGAATCTGATTAATTACGGTACCGCTCGCCTTGTTTGAATCTGATTAATTACGGTACCGCCCCTAGTATGAACGCGCCGCTGTATGTTCAGTACCTCGTCCTGCACACTAAGGGCGGTACCGTAATTAATCAGTTTCTTTTCAAGCAGGCAGGAGGAGATAATTACGGTACCGCCCCTAGTGTGAATGCGCCGCTGTATGTTCAGTATGAGACTGAGACGCCGGAAAATCGACCAACAACATATATACGAGCTAAAAGTGAACATTTAGAGCTATTTTTGGTGCCCAGTTCAACAAGAGTCGTGTCACATCCGAAACGAGTCATGTCATTCCGACGGGTCTAGAGCTTTCGGCTTTTCCACACGAGTCGTGTGAGTCTGGGCGGGTCAAAATCAGATTTTATGCGTTTTCCTATTTTTACGGTATTTTGGACTAGCATACTATTTAAACAACACTATGACACATTGTAGGGGGAGGAAGATTATCAGACTTTTGGGAGATATTCAGACTTTTAGATACTAAAAACACGAGCAAGACGAGCGAGAAAGTCTGGAGCAAGACCGAGTCGAATAAGCTTTTTCTTTCTTTTTATTTTCTCTTTCGAACTCAATGTTTTATTTCTATTTTTCTGTTTTTGAAAGCATGTTTATAGACTAAATTTATTTTAAATTCTAGGATTTGTTAGTACCCAGATTAATTTATGATGTAGTTTTTATTGCTTTCATTCCAGTTTATCTTTCGTTTATAAATTTCTTGTGCTTATTTTTATTGTGTGAGTAGACGACCACTATGAATGCATATTTGTAATTGACTTGAAACTGAGAGGAGATAATTGATTGCTAGAATTGGGAAATTTATAATCTGAGAGAATAAACAGACCGAGAGGTTGATAGAACCTTGCGAGAGAACGGAAATCCTAAGACTTTGTGGGAGTTAGTTGTTCATCTTGAGACCGAGAGGAGATAAATAACCATTAATATCTATGATTTAACTTGTTCGAGAGAAATGTTAGATTAATTTAACGATTGTTTCTACGATTGGTAAAATTAAATAAGGTTTGGTTGAAGATAAAAGTTTCATGAATTAATTTCGATGAACGCTTAGCCTAGAATCTATCTTTTATATATTTTTATTGCTTTAGGTAAATTAGCTCGTAGACGTTTAATTTCTTAGTTATAATCATCTTCCCAGTTCGTTGGTCTATAGATAACATTTAATCGTCATTATTTTAGTACTTAATTAATTAATTTAACTACAATCTCTGTGGAATACAACCTTACTCGCTACTACCTATAACTATGCCGTACACTTGCGGTGATAGCAAAAATATATTAGCGAACACCCATCACTTATATTAAACCCAAATCGGGATATCCCGTTTCTATCAGTTCGGCTCGATTAACCGTATTTTTAAGCCCTTTAATGGTTATTTGTTGTGTACACATAGTTTCAGAGTTTCACGAGACAAAAAGGTGACAATTTT